CAAGCTAAACCGGACAGAAGGTTGGGAGTTCCCAAAGACTTACTTACCCTTACTCCGGAGGGAGGCAACAGGGGGTGGGGCCCGGCAGACCGATGCAAGTCTCTGGCCTAGTCTCGCGCTCTCGCGAGATTAGGCCACTCCGTGAACAAGATGGACTGATAGCCATCGAAAATTTGGAGGTTAGTATCCTTATCCTTCCAAGTTGTCACTGATGAAAGAATTTACTAGTAACAACATGGCCAAATATGAGTGACTCACATGACTGTGTTTGTAAAACTGTCCTACAGGTATACATCCCTGGGGAACATGGTGAACACCAAGCAGAACCCCCACCTGAAGTTTGTGGATGAGTTTGGGGTGACGAGGTACAAGCCGGCGTACCTGCTGGAGGATGAGACTGGGGAGAGAGACGGCAGGCACTCCTAACTCACACACTTTCACACGTGATGGTTGTAACAAGATTTATAGACATTTGTTTTCATGAAGATGTGTAGATCTGTGTTTTCATGAGGATGTGTTGTCATGTTTTAATGAGGTTGCATAGACATGTTTTCATGAGGATATGTACTTAATGTAGACATGTTTCCATATGTGGATACTTAGACACATGTTTCAGTGTGGATGCATAGACACATGTTTCCATGTGGATGCATAGACATGTGTTTCCATGTGGATGCATAGACATGTGTTTCCATGTAAATACATAGACACATGTTTCCATGTGGATGCATAGACACATGTTTCCATGTGGATACATAAACACATGTTTCCATGTGGATGCATAGACACACATGTTTCCATGTGGATGCATAGACACATGTTTCCATGTGGATGCATTGACACATGTTTCCATGCAGATGCATATGCATAGACACATGTTTTCAAGAGGATGTGTTTTCATGATATGTCTGACATGGACATATAGACTTGTGTTTTAATGGGGGTATTTTCAGTGCCATGGCAAAGTTGCACTATTGTGAGGTTTTTCGTTGCTTTTTTATTTCCAAGGCAGGCTGTTGGTTATACAGTCAATGGAAGGAGACAAAATACACATGTGTAATGCTATTCAAAAAGTCAACATTTATTAGACTTTTTATCATTATCTTACAGAATCCTACAATACTGCAGGTAAATGTGTATGTTTACATTGAGGTCAGGAAATGTCAAAATGTAAGAAAACTCCATTTTACAAAAGCAGCCTGATGTAGGTAGTATATTTTCAGTGTGAATCTCTTATATGATGTTACATTTTAGACAAAGCTAAGCACAGGTAATAAGAAGTTATATTACATTAGACATGATGTTGTATCAACACATTTATTCATTTTGTACTCTACCTGGCAAATCTCAATTACTAATTGAAATAAACCTCAGTTTAGCTACTGATGGTTCTGATTTCTCTCAGGGAAATTATAAGTTGATATGAAATGTTGAATGCCATCAAAAAGAAAGGTTAAGGGGTAACTCATACATTCAGAATATGGTTTTTAGGTACAAAATGTGCAGGAACATTGTGGCAAGTGACTTGAAAATTTCTTTGTTAGGCCACACCAATCTAATTTCTTGGTTAACGGATTCACCCGCTTCATTTTTTTCTGATTTGCAAATAAAAATAAAAATTCAGAATCAACTGCAAAATGCTCATATTTTGCCCTGAACAGTTGAAAACAGTCCTTTTCTTCCTAGTTGTTACAGTTATTCCATCTTTCAATGCAATGGTATCATTAAAAGTTAAAAATTCTTTGTTTAAATTTTGAACCAGCCTGGTGTGTTGACTTCATGGCTCCTATCGTACCATTTTGGGCCATATATAGGATGCCTAGGCCTTGTTTTTTTTTTTTTGCCCGCCTGCTCCATTATTTTTCTAGAAAAATCCGTTAATCAAGAAATTAAATTGGTGTGGCCTTATGAATGGATATATTCATTCTTGAATGTTGGTTAAATGGAACTGTGACCAAATCGTAATCTACCATTTATATCTGCAAAAAAGAATTGTATTGCTTGTATCAATTTATACCAGCAAAGTGTCACAATACATACATTGTACACACATAATGAAAAAAATCAAATGTAGAAATTCTATACTTACAGTGTTATATGTCCTTGCCTACATGGATGTAGAGTGGTAAATGATAAGGGTACAAAGTAAGGATTAAATGTATTAAAGTAACTGACAATAAATCTGTTAGACATTCACATCTGATCACCCGAGTCTTGTTTTTAGTGCAGTCAATGGCCATTCTAGACTTCAAAATGTGAAACCAGTACAATAGATTCTGTGTAATGTCGCAGTTCAGTTTCTCATACAAAGGAAAAAAAAGAAAATTAAATTAAAGATAATAAGAAAATAATGGATACACGGTATTCAATATCGAAATGGCGACATACATGTACATTGTATACTGTACGTGTAATTCTTGATTTTTTTCACAGTACTTTTATGTTCGCCGACTTTCTGCACCTACATTGTACCGCTACCATGAACATATTTAGTTCCGGGAACACCTGAGACTCCAGTTTTCTCAGAATTGCTACCGTGAGCATAAAGTGAACTAGAGTTCCACAATCTCATACCTTTGCCAAATGATGTTGATCTTTATAACTGACAAAGTAAAGATTTATAATATTCCTTCTGATTATGCAAATAGGATCCTCATCTGCATGAATTATATCAGTTGATCATATTCTTGATCAAAAGACAGCCTTAACAAAGAAAGCTATCATTTCCTCATAAATTATGTAAATGAGGTCCTTATTTGAATAACTTACGTTTAATGATGTGCACCTTCACTTAACTTTTAAATACCCCAAGTATGAAATTCCAGGAAGTTACCATTATGGAATTATAACATTTTCTCATTAATTATGCAAAATAAGTGTTAATTTACATAATTAATATCTGTCTGTGTTTTGTTCTCAATTACACATGTCACAAGCTTGAATAGTCCTATAATGTAATGCAGAGGATGTAAATTACATCTAGATTTGCATAATTGTCGCATATTTATGTCAAGCGTCACTCGAGCTATCTACATACCAAAAATGGTAATTACAGTAACATTGTTGATTGTCCAGAATTTGTAGCTTTAATCAAGATGGTTAAAAGAGGTCCCCTTGTTTTAACCTTCTTTCTTTTGTGAAGAAAAGAAGAAACCTCAGCAGAACCAGAAGTTGAACTGACTGCAGAAGATGATGTGATCAGACAGGTCCTTCAGGGTGAACCTTCCCTTCAGGTGGAACTGAAGGAGAACGGAGGACAACACGTTCGTAATAATGAATGAATGAAATACCTTATTGTACATTTATGCTAGCCTCTACCAGGCACCGCGGATCGCTGGAAAAATAGTAGAAATTGGCCGAAATTAAGGGATAGTATACCAGAGAAGATCCAGGGCCATAGAAGCTCCAATC